CGCACCGCATGGCTGAGAGTCTTCGTGGCCAGCCGCCGCCCGCTTTCCGCTTTGCGTCGCCCTTGCATCTAGCTCCTCCCCGCTGGCCCAGCCTTCGTGCGGGAAGGCAAGTGACGGTGCATATTTTTATCGACGTAGTGCAAAGGTAGTGCAGCGCAGCACATTGCGTCGCAGGTTCCTGTTGAGTGCAACGGAAGAAAGGGCCGGCTTGAGATCGGACTGGAGCTGGTGGCCCTGATGAATTTCGACTGCTGCAGGCAACGGGAGCACTGCTGTAGTGGACCCCCACGACCGTATTTTCGTCTCACCAACCCCGGCTGGGGGACGCCTTAGCGCCCTCGCCCTTGTGCGCCCCTGGTGGCTTGAGCGCCGATGCTGCCCATTGAACGTCTGCTGAAGCCACAAAGCCACCGTTTTGAGACGGCGCCCGAGTTCGGCAGATCACTGGACGTGCGCCGTCGTCCCACCTCAATGAGATGCGCCTAGACCACCACGCCGGCGTCTATCTTTCTGCTATTCGCGCTGGAGTAGCGAACGGTACGTAGCCACCGTTGCGGCACTGCTTTGTCTCCGTAGCGTCTCTGTCTCTACCGTCTTAGACAAAGACGCGTCGCGCTTGTCAACCTCAACGTCGACTTCGTATGTGCTGCCCCCCGTCTGTTACCACTATTCCACGGACACATGGCCGCATGTCCACCCGTAATGACATTCTCTAGCGTCTCCTCTTGAATCTTGATTCCTGATTGCGCAAGGAATCGAAGTGTCACCTCGTTCTTGCGTCCCATGGGAGACGACCGGGGGTCAACCGCACTTACAACCCGATGTTGACTTTTGGATGAGATCCAGCCACTACGATGGCGCCCAAGAGAAAGGCGGAGCCGCAACAGCAACCAGTCGAGGGCCGCTCTGGCTCCAAAAGGCTCAAGGCTGACCGAGCCCAAAATGCCGTCAGGCAGTCGGTCCTTCTACAGTACTACGACAATGTGCAGAATCTCCGCGAATACCTGCTGTCTAGGCTCCCGAGCTCATCCAGGCTTCGCCGCAAGAAGATTGCCTCCATTGGACTATCACGCACATCCCTGGCCAAAGAAGCGCTCCCGGCAGAAGCCGACCTGTCAAAACTGTTAGACTCGACGCTGGTATGTATGCACCGTCAGACTAATACAAGGGCTGAATCTCGCTGGGAAAACTGGCGATCTTTCTCGCAAAAGGGCAATGATTCAAAGTGCGACGATTCTGTGATGTCACTATCCGGAGGGCTAGCTGGCGCGACTTGCTCGCAGTCGGAGGTTAGTGCTGCTCTCCGACTACTTAGCTGTCCCATCTTAACAACGTCGGCAGATTGTAAATTTTGTCATTTGGCAACTCTTCTCCAGCAATCAGTCAGGTGGCTGGCCCAGGCATCTTCTCTGCGATGGCTTCCGAAGATACGCGCAAAACGCGGGCAACCCGCGAGAGCCCAGAAATGGCGACTGGCCGTCCGGTCTGTACCGGGTTCATCCCAACCATTTCGTCCAGACCCTCAAAGCTTCTCCGTGGCCGCAGCTTCTCATGCTGTTGGGGAAATCAGGCGAACAAATCATGATTGACCTTCTCATTGACACGGCCATTTTCCTCCCTGCGCAAGCGGGTGTAGGGAACATGTACCAGCTCAGCGGTACGCCAATGTTCGCTGCAGACACGGCAAGATGGGAGCCGGCTGCGGCACAGAAGCCTGCAAAGGACTCGAATCTTGAATCCGAGAGGCTGCCGTCAGAGCTGCCATTCATGAGGAATCGCATGCTGTATGCTCGGGCTGCTCTCACCGGCCGCGGGACTGTTCACTACGGATTCAGGCATATACGTGAGTCTCTGTTACCGTCATCAAACTGTGGCTAACATTGTCCTAGATGTTCTCAGCCGTTGCCCAAGGGTGACAGATTCCGCCCAGGCCGACCCAGATCAAAAGACGCGGCTGGATCAAAGCAATGAGCAGAACACGCTAAAGGTGATGATGTACATCTTCCCTCGTCAGTTTGGACTGCACAACGTCTTCACCTCCAAGGTCGACCATCTCAAGACCGCCCAGAAGCTCCCTGACTACACCCTCCGCGAAGAGGAGATCAACTCGCTGTTCAAGGATCAGAAGATTCGAACGCCGAAAAGGCTACGAGGAGACGTCAAACGACTGGTCGAGCACTTGCAATTGCTTCATGGCCGCTGCGCGTACGCCGAACTGCTGCGCCACCACTGCCCGTCTGCAATCGATGGCACGACTCGGAAATCAGCGCACAAGAAGCCGGCCAAGCCGTCAGGCACGCAGCTCTCGCTCACCTATACACAGGCGACAGCACCCGCCAGTCGAAGCGCCATCACGACAAAGCATCGCCACAAAGCTCGGCAACAGGCCCCTTCGATACCAACGATCAAGTTCGATGCCGTCACTGACCTGGCGACGCCGGCACCTCACGTGTCCGCCTTTTGCCGCGCCGTGCTGGCCAGACTCATACCAGACGCATTCTGGGGCAGCGGTCCTGATCAAGCACATAATCGTGATTTGGTCTTCAAGAGAGTTGACCACTTTGTCGGACTGAGGAGATTCGAAAGCATGTCCCTTGAGGAGGTGACTGACGGGATAAAGGTAAGCAGGTATGCATCGTTGTTGAAGGTTCTCGTTGACAGCATGCTAGGTCACAGCCATGGACTGGCTGGCACCACCCAAACTGAAAGGCATGAAGGCCAGCCAGTCGGACATGAAGAAGCGGCTCGAGATCCTGCACGAGTTTCTCTACTATGTTTTTGATTCCATTTTGATACCCCTATTGCGCAGTAACTTTTACATTACGGAGTCGAGCTCTCACCGCTATCGGCTCTTCTTCTTTCGCCACGACGTCTGGCGTTATGTGGCCGAACCAGCCATGGCGACGCTGAGAGCGAATATGTTGGAGGAGGTGAGCCTAGGCGATGCGAACCGCATCCTTGCGTCGAGGAGACTAGGGTTCAGCCGCATCAGACTACTCCCAAAGGGCAAAACCATGAGACCCATCACAAATCTGCGGAGGCGGGCAGCTGCCCAAGGGAGAAACGCACTTGGGCCGAGCATCAACTCCGTCCTCGGTCCTGTCCATTCTATGCTCAGGCTGGAAACTGTAGGGTGCCCCCGCGGTTCCACATCGATAGTGCTAACGACTACCAGGAGCGTAACCCATCCAAGCTCGGTTCGTCCATGTTCTCGGTGGGCGACATTTACACACGGCTCCGTTCATTCAGCGCAAGCTTTGGCGAGGACAGTCCGACCTTTTACTTTGCAAAAGTGGACGTGCAATCCGCCTTCGACACCATCCCTCAAGATGCCGTCGTTAGGCTCATGGGAGGCGTCCCGAGCCAAGCGCAGTATGTTATCAAAAAGCACCTCGAAGTCAAGGCCGGTTTGGTGGACCCTCGGCTCCAAAGGCGCCCTGCTTCGAAGCTTACAAGGCGATGGCACTCGCTCGCCAGCACCCGAGATGACCCAGCCGGCTTTGCGCAGGTTGTCCAAGAGCGCCTCGGCCCAAAGAGAAAGAATGCCGTGTTTGTGGGTAACATTTCGCGGAAAGAGCACGCGACAAAGTACCTCATGGAGTTGATGGAGTCGCACATCCAGCACAACCTCGTCAAGGTCGGCAAGAAGTACTACAGGCAGAAGAAGGGCATCCCGCAGGGTTCTGTCTTGTCATCGGCTCTCTGCAACTACTTTTACGCCGACCTCGAAGCAGAGCGTCTTTCTTTCCTTCGCGGCAAGGATTGTCTGCTTCTGAGGCTCATTGATGACTTCCTGCTCATTTCGACGAGCCAGAGGAAAGCCCGCAAGTTCGTCAAGGTCATGCACGGTGGTGTTCCCGAGTACGGCGTGGCAGTCAACCCCAACAAGACGCTGGTTAACTTCGACCTGGAGCTTGGCGGCGTGAAGGTATCCAGGGCACTAAAAGCGAGCCCATTTCCCTACTGTGGCTTGAGTATTGATTGCAAAACGCTTGACATTATCAGGGACCACGACACGGCGAAGGGGGCTGCAATCTCGAACGCCCTGACTGTCGACTACGGAGTCAAGCCAGGGCAAAACTTCCAGAGAAGGGTCCTGAGTAGGTCATCCGACCTGAATCTTCTTTCCTTTACTGACTCTTGCAGACGCCTTCAAGATCCAGTCCCATTTGATGTTCTACGACACCCGACACAACACGCTCGAGACCGTCTTCTCCAACCTCCACAAGGCCTTCACGGAGACGACAGAAAAGATGCTGGCTTACTGGCGCTGCCTGCCTGCTGCGAAGCGACCCAGGAGCCGCATGCTCACGCGTAGGTGCCTGCTGTTGCGACTGATTGTCATTTGGCTCACATTCTTTCAGAAACCATCAACAGAATCATCGACGTGGCATTTGTGCTCCTCACGGGCAAGGCGAGGAAAGAGAAGCACCCCGATTACAGCTGCGCAATGGAGAAGACGCATGTTACCTGGTTAGTACACTTTCGCGCGTTCGCAACCACAGCAGGCTGACATTTGACCAGGCTGGCACTTGATGCCGTGAGAAAGGCCTTGCTGAAAAGGCAGGCGAACTTTTCACCGGTCCTTGGGTGGATTGATGCCGAGTTGGGCAGACTCGACACAGCAAAGACTGCACGGGTAAAGAAGTATATCAAGTAGTACAGGAGCAAAATATAATCTTGCGGAGACTTCTGATGCGATCCACAGCTCGTCGTGTTGCCGCAGCCAGGGTGTCATAATGTCTTATTGGCGGCCTATCCCCGTGTCACCCTGTGCGATCCAGTTTGCGTGTGCCAGGCGTTTTCGAGGCTGTCGGCATCCGCGCGACCTGCCACATGTGTCACAGAATGGCCGTACGTCTCGAGGAGCACTGCACTCTTCTCGAGGCTGTCGGCGGTGATGGGAGGCATCTTTGGTCCCCTGAGATGCACTGATCAACCAGACTTCCATCACCAGCATTCGGACTCCGCAGTGAATACATCCGTTCCAATCCGTCACGATGGACGAATGCGAACGCCTGTTCCTTGAGAAGATCGCCGTGGCAGAGACGTATCCTGACTCCTTGATACGCCAGGACGAGCGACGCCCGGCGCTTCGGTCCTGCCTCGAGCACTACGCAGCAAACAAAGACGCAATATTTGACGGGCCTCCGTCGAGGATCGATACGCCGTTGATCATCATAGACTTTGACGACGCCGAGTCATGGAGCAAAGAAGAGGGGCCGAGACGGGTGAATTTGCACATCATCCGTAACGTAATTGGGCTGCGCAGGAAGCTGGCGTGGCCCAGCCCGTCCGAGATTACGATGGAATCGGCGACGCTCGGGAGGGATCCGGCTCTGAGAATAGTGTACGCCGCTACTCGGCTTCAGAAAACTGCCAGCTGACGGAAACACCAGGCTACTGGAACGCTTGAGCCCGACGTCGCTGCTGCTCAACCTCAGCGAAAAGGTCCTGCTGGAGCTCCTGACGTATCACCAGGTCCCGTCCTGCCTGCTCAACTTCCTCACGAGCGGCGGCGAGTCGTGGAGTTTTGCGAGCAGCATGCGCTTCGCTGGGTTTCGGGGCACGACGAGCCTGGCCTCTAAACAGGGCGCGGCTGTGCCGAATCTTGGCCGGAGCGGCTCGCACATTCAGCTCTGCTTCACAATGTTCAGCATGCGGAGGTACCCCCTCCACGCGTGGCCCAAGGGCGAAGACCCCAGCAAGACGCCGCGTTGGCAGCCCCACGCGGCGGCGGTGTACGTCCACTTTGACGTTGTCGAGGGCACGGCGGTCTGGCTGCTCACGAGCCCGCGGAGCTACCACCGGGAGAAGGGGAAAGGCACGCAGAATCTCCTGTGGGATACGGTCAAGGAGAGGTTCGAGGGGACACTGGAGGGGATGAGCGCTCTAGGGGTGGCCGACCGGTTCCGGATCAGTCTGGAGAGCCTCCTTGCTGTTGTCGAATGGGCTGTGGAAGAGCTGTCGCCGCATTTCCAGGATCTGGAACTGCATCTGTCGAAACTGGTAGGTTTGGGCTTGTTGATCAACGACACGAACTGCTAAGAATTGGTCTGCAGACAAAGCCGTACCTGCATCCCTTTGGCGACGAAGACGACGCGCAGACGGATGCCATCCACGAACTAGATCTCCGTCGCATGGCGTTCCTCATGGAGCAGCGTCACCGCAGCGCCATGAGGGTCGACAGCAACCTCCGCGTCCTCCGACGCCTCCGAGAATTTCTCACTGAACAGGTTAGCGACGAGCTGGACAGGCTTAATCTTCGCCACGCAGGCGAGATGCAGGCGCACTTGGACAAGTTCAAAGGCGAGCTATCGTCAGCGATGGAGGAGATGGAGGACTTGATGCAGCGGGCGCAGGCTCTGGACCAGCTGGCCGGGAACCGAGAGGAATACGTGAGTCGTGAACAACGCCCCCCGGTCGGGGTCCGCCGAGTAACGCGTTGTCAAAGATTCAACGGATGCAGACGCACCATGCGAACCAGCAGATGAAATCCATCGCCGAGTTGACCGCAGATGACTCGGCCGCAATGAAGCAGCTCTCTTTCATAGCATTGATCCTGCTGCCAGTGACTGTCGTATCGGTGAGTAACAAGACCCCGAACGAAAGCAAGGTGTTGGGATGGACAGCCGAGACGACGGCATGGGCTGATCGGATGAGTACAACTCGTTTGCGCGAGTTAGACCGTCCTGAGTACAGACATTGTAAAGTTTCAGGACCTTCCGAACGAAAACGAAAGCGCTTCTGCCGCCGGGGAGGGTCCTCCCGACGCGCCCGTCCCGGCGTACAGCTTCTCGGTCGCGGCGTTCGGGACGTGGGCCGTCGCGAGCCTGGTCATGACGGTCGTCACCCTCGCCATCGTCAAGCCGCTGGGTGGAAGGCGGGGTACGAACAAGAGGACCAGATTGCGGCTCCCGCGGCTATCGATGCCTTGGAATCTTGGAGGCGCGGTTCACACGGGCGAGGGGCAGACGACCACGCCACCCGAGCCAAGCCCGGTTGCACGCTCGATCCACACGGCGCCGGCGGTGGGCAAGACGGCATCACAGTGTCCAGAAACTCCGGTAGTGGGTGTGGGCGGTCCCGTCCAAGCCGGGGCCTCCCAAACGCTGACGTCGATGGGACGGTGGCTCAGGGGGGCTTGGGGGACCCTGTGGCGGTGGCAGACGAGCAGGACAAGAGAGACGACGTCGACGGCGGCGGCGGCGGCGGGGACTGGTCTACCCCGTTGAACCGTAAAAGACAAAAGGAAGCGCCGTTGTCCGAACGTTTGATGGTGGTGGGCAGAGAAACTGGTTGAAATCGCGGGGAGGGTTTTGTGCTGCATCATGTCATTAGCACCGTCGAATTAAGGTGTGATGGTTGGGTAGCAATCTAGATCGTGATTGCATTAGGGGGGAGGGAATCGAGTGCCGGGGTGGGCAGATTGACAGCCCAATTGGCAGATCGATTGGCCCCCTTGATTTGCGATATCCTTCCAAGGTTAAGGCGTACATGTTTGACACCGTCAGCTCCGATGAGCCTCACCTTGTTTTCGCATCTCGCTTGTTTGCTTTGTGTCGTCGGAAAGTGGATTGTCGTGCCGGTGCTTCTCTTCTCCATCAGATTGCCACTTTCGACCTCGCATGATGCGGTCGGTGGTGATTGGTAGGAATCCATGATGGGATTTGGTGGGAAAATGCATCCAAGCATCCGCGGTTTCCCACGTGAAGCGCCCCTGCGACTCGTCCCGAGGGCAAAAGAGGCAAGTCGTGGCAGTTGCCCCGCCCCGAGTCGGCGTCGTAGGTCGTCGTCCCGTACTCGTGTACGCTTTGCTGTTGCTGCTGTGTTGCTGAGCTGAGGTGAGAGACACTGGACCAGACTGAAGCAGAGACCGCCCGCCGGAGCCGCTGAGGGTCCCCGGCGGCCAGCGAATCAGCCCACTACAACGCACCGTGGGTGGGTGAGCGAGTCCGCTGCAGTGCCCCGCCATGATTCGTCGTCTTCGGACCCGGCAGGGAGCCACCTCGCCCACCGCTGGTCGCCTCCAGGGGCCACCCCGTCACCCGAGGCAGGACCGTGGGTGGGTGGCGGCCCGCCTGGCTGACGTGGGGCGAGTAGCATGCCGCGCGCCGGGACTTGGATCGACCGGAGACTTGTTGGTTGACGTCAGACGAAAGTTGATGCGGCGACTCGACTCAAACATGCTTCTCTTTTCTTTCGTCTCGTCTTTTGGCCTGCATTTATTCCACATCACGCACACATCTCTGCCTTCCTTGCTTATCTCTGGCATATCTCTCGTGCTTGCTTCCTCGCCGCGGCCGCACCCCTGCTCGCATTGCAATGTCATCCCATCCCCCCCATGATATCCTGCTACCTATTTGAGGGAAGCGTTTTGTTTCCAAAGCGGCGAAACGGATCTTCGACTTTAGAATCGCCTCGGGAGGGTTGACACACCTTTACACACCAACTCGTCTTTCTCGTCCTTGCTTTCCATCCTCTCTCTCTGTGTCTGTTTGTCTGGAGGAGCGCTATTACCACCACCCACCACAAATCGCCGCACTCTTACTCTCGCACACGCCACATGTCGCATTACCTGAGCCCGACGCTTTTGTCCACTTCCGAGGCCTTAAATCCCCCCATTCCCTTCCCTCTCGCCTTCGGATCGGGCTTTCCACGTCCCCCGTGCTGTCCTCCAATCGTAATCGGGTTCGGTTTCTCGTCGTCTTTCGTCCCGCCTCCTTGCCTCCCAACCGGGGTCGTCCAAGCACGACGGGAAGACTGCGGGGCGGTGGATGGTGCGTTGGTCGCGGGATGCTGTAAGACGTTCGGGAAAACGCAGCACAACATTCTCACGACGGCTCGTGAGCCTTGGTCGTAAATAAGAAAAAAGTCCGTTAGCTGGAGAATCCCTGGTTTCCTGCCCTAGTCGCCGCTTCTTTGGCTTCCCGTACTCGGGGCGAACCGGCGGTGTCCTCGTACATCTGCGTGCTATATCCGAGTCAGACAAGCCACGCAGAGGCGGCTGACAATGTTTTATTTATACTACCGGCCCTTCTCCTGAACATTGTCTCTGTTTCTTACGATCTCCAGGCCAGCCTGATCAGTCTCCCCCGCCTTCTCTGGACATTGAACGTAACCTGTCACGGTTGATCAGAGACATACCTCGTCCGACATGGCGGCTGCCATTACAGCAACACTGGGCGTGCCCAACATGACGGCGCCCATCCTCGCCAACTTCTCCAATCCGGCCGCGGACCTCGTCAACGCCAGCACGCCGCTCCTCGCCGCGGTCGTGCGCGACAGCTACCGCGCCGTCTTCAAGGCCCGCGTCGCGGCCGGCGTCTCCAAGCCCTTCGTGCTGCCCTACGGCATCTTTGGCACCTTCATCCTGCCCATCCTGTACATGACCATCCCGCACAGGAAGCGCCCGTGGGTCTACGCCGCGAGATGGCTCGTGCTGGCCTTCATCATCGCCTTCAACCTCAAGATCATGCGCGAGACCTCCAGCACCAACATGTCCATGGGCTACACGAGCGGCCTGTCTGCGTTTTGGGGGATGCTATCCAGCGTCACCAACCTCGTCTTCACCGCCCCGCAGTTTGACTTTGAGAGGGTGGCGAGGAGGAAGGTGAGCAAGACTGCTACGTCGTCGCCCAAGCCCTCGAGGAAGTCGAGCCGATCCAACTCGCCTGCTGCGCGGTCAAACTCCCAAGGCGGGCTGCGCAAACGGGCCGGCAGCAAGAGACGACGGAACAACAAGGCCTCGGCACCGGACGTCAACGTCGACAAGTACGAATACTACTGGCAGTCATACCCGGAGAACGGCACCTTTGTCGAGCGTCTGGGCTGGGTCGTGGACTTGTACACCAACTTCCGAGGCGTCGGTAAGTGTGAAGCTTCTGGAGGTATTGTACAGTTTACTGACAAGAATAGGTTGGTCATGGGCTGTTTCGTCCGTACCTAGCCCTGCTCCGCCTGAGCATCCGCACACCGAGGAGCTCGTCAAGATGGAGACGATCCCGCTGGAGACCTTCGTCGGCTGCCAGACGTACAAGGACGAGCGCGACTTCTTGTGGCGGAAGCTCATCCCCGTCTCCCTCGCGTACATCATCCTCGACATCTTCAAGGTCAAGAGCACCGAGGACCCCTACTTCATCTTCGGCAGCACGCCGTTCCCGCTGCCTCCTCACCTGGCATCCACCCCTCACTGGCTCTTGTCTGTCTACCGTCACTCCGGCATCATCTGCACGTTGTACGCCTCGATTGTCATGGTCTTCTCTGTTCACGATCTATTCCAGTACTACGTCTTTAGCAAGGTCTTCCCCATGCGCGGCGAGCTGTGGCAGTACTCCTCCGTCTTTGGCTCCTTCTCCCAGGTCTTTGACAGGGGCCTGGCCGGGTTCTGGGGCGCCTGGTGGCACCAGACATTCCGCCACTCCTTCTCCGCCCCGGGAAACTGGCTCGTGCAGCACGGGTATCTGAAGCAGGGCACGACGACGACGAAGCTCATTATCATGTCCATCGCCTTCTGGCTCTCCGGCCTCCTCCACGGCGCCGGCAGCGTGACGGCCATCCCCGAGACGAACTGGCTGAAGCCCTGCTCCTTCTTTTGGGCGTCCGGCGTCGGCGTCCTGCTGCAGAAGGCCTTCTGCACGACCTTCAAGTCCCAGATCGCAAAGATGCCCCGCATCGTGAGGCGGTTCGGAAACTTGATGTTCGTCCTCGTGTGGCTGCAGGTCACCGTCAAGCCCCTGGCGGACGACTTCGCAGAGACCGGTCTGTGGCTGGTCGAGCCCGTTCCGGTGTCTGTTGTGCGGGCGCTGGGTTTCGGTCGGGGGGAGACATCGTGGTGGAAGCCCGACATGGAAGCGATCGGACGTTGGCATACTGGTGAGCATTGGTGGGAGAGCGGGTTCGGTTACTAGAGCATCGGCGCAAGCCACCTTCATGATCATGTTGCGACCAAGTCATGTATAGTTAGTATTTTGATAGACCTGACATGTATTCCTTCTCTCTCTGAGCGTCCGTCTTGGCTCCGATCTGTTGTACGTCAGTCGACTCTGCTGGTTCCGTCTTCTCCCCGGTCAGGTCACAACCGCCATGACTGACTTGATTGGTGCTGTATCGCAACATAATGTCGTTCCTCTGCTTTTGTGTCAACTTACGAGGGACACAGACGTGCTACGAGCTGTCTCCCGCAAACTGGGTTAAGCTGTCAGTAGACCACTTCATGAAACCGCCTGCGTGGCACTCACATGTTTGACATCAAATGTCGAGGAGGGGCAGTCGGGGAATATCTCTTCCAGGCCCTTCTTGAGATCTTCTTTGCTCAGCCCCGACATTGGGAATCTCTCTCGGTGTCCCCTAGTCATGCTTGGCTTCCTTCGTGTTGATCCCCACATGGCTGACATGGTTGCGTGTGCGCAGGTTTCGATTTGGATTGGTGTACAGAGATGCAGTTGAAGCAGAAGCAGAGTCGAAATTCGCTGGCAGTCTGTGGTACTTGAATGGTGGGATGTATGGCCCAATGTTGGACTGTGAGTCGATGGAGTCGCGTGGGAGTCGATGGGATTGTGAGTCGGATGAGTGGAGTGGAAAATTCGGTCGACTCCTTCCCTCCAAACGTCGAAGTGGCTCCTTCCTTTGGCTGACTGGGCAACGTTCTCCGCTCAAATCGATATGAGATTCAGAACAAAGGACCCAGTCTTCCACCTGGTGTTGGTTTGCTCATGATTAACTATGAGTACTCTGGAAGCTTCGACTCAAATAGCGACACACTTCGACTTTGGCTTACTTTTGGCAATCATTCTTGATTATCGGAACACAAGAAATCGTGACAGTCTATCAAACCATGCCGAGTATGCGTCACCTTCGAGTCGCTTCTAGAATCAAGTGTGTCCACAAAGGCGGATAGCCTCATCACCAGTTCGCCTTCAACTTACGAGAAGAACAATCGAATCATCAACCACCACGCCGCCAAGCAAAGTATCGATGACTGTATCGGTATTCGAGATCTAGCCTATGGTACGAGAAAAGAAAGGGGTATCTTAAGCCAAGTAACTAACCCAACCCTCTCCAGTTTCCAACGCCGAGACGTTCCTCCGAGAGACGAAAAGGGGGGTAAAACCTCTGGTAAAAGCAAAACCAATCCAATCCTCCTCCGAAACCACCTTGCCATTCGCGATCGTAGGGCAAGATCTCAGTAGCAATGATTCCGTTTGTCTGAGCTCGCACAAAGGAAAAAGAATGAAACGAAAGTGAAGTAGGAAAAAAAAGACGCAAACTGTAGCAATGAGAGTCGGCAATCATCGATGACGT